ATCGAGCTACATTTTACTTAACATAACTAAAGCCAATTAATGTATGACAATTGAAATTTGTAAAACAAATTCTTAAAAAATGTATCTGCTCTTATCAACATTTACATGCACAGTAAAAGTATAATCGACCATGAAGAGCACTGTAGCAATTTGTCCTAATTGACATTAGGTTTGCATTAAATTGGATATCGCAAGTGAAATTTAATAAGCGGCTGAAAGTAGCGTTTAAATGGATTCCTAAACGTTGGTAATGCAGCAGTAGAGTGGCTCATGAAGTAGCCCAAGAAACTTTGTGTATAGGCGCCTACGTAAGCTGCTCATTTTAGAAGCGAAATTGAATTCGATCGCTCAAAGTTCATGACTGTGTGCTCTCTTTCTCTCTTTTTCTCTCCCGTCCTCCCTCTCACCCTTCAATTCCTCTCTCCTTTTTCACTTTTCATTTCCTTCGCTCAATGCGTCTCGCGATGGTGCGTGGCGCGTCCGAGAATAGCCCCTGCTCGCGAGAAAAGACGCGGGGACGCACGCGCGGGCTCCCGTCCAGAGATCACTGACCCACTATCCCCGTCTCATTCGTTTATATTTAGGCCCTTTTCGACGCGTCTTTTTTTCATTATAAGTCGCGCGTTGTCGCTTTATGGCGCGAGCTTCGCGAAATATCCGCGTCTACGCCTGCTCCATCGCGCTCTTCACTCCCCCGTCGAAGCTCGGACAATGCTCCTCCTTACCCAACAATCGGAGTGTCTTTCAATTTTCTTCGGTTATATAAGGCAGGATTGCATAATGAAGGAAAATACGAGAAATTCGGAATGCCGCGTAGTTGACAACGATAGGAGGGTGGGGGAGGGTGGTGGTGGTGTAAATTGAGCTGTACAGACTCGATGAGATTTTTACAGATATTAAATAATTGTTCAATCTCAATCTTATTACGATTTCGTGCACTATAAATAACTCTTTATTTTATTGCTTACGTCAGAATGAATATGTAGGGATTAGTTCGTTACACTATTGTACTGTTAAATAATGGACTTAAAGTAATGGAACTATAACACAAAGCGTGTATTTGTATAAATATCGAGAACTACGTTGTCACGATGTCCATTACTTAAAATAAATAGCATGTCTTACGTACGATCAATGATTAAATGTCTCGTAGTTAGGGCTTAGTCTAGTACAATAGCACTCGGATCTCTTCTTTTTTTTTTTTATCAGAAATTAAACATTTTTATTCGTGACATTTCAGAGAAAATTTAATTTTTAATTTTAATTCAATTTTTCGTATATTTTAGAAATTCGTACATTGTTAATTGTGGTAAGACGTTTGGCGTATTGGTAATATACGAGCACCGAATGTTCAAACATTGTATATATTATTAAAATAAATAAGAAAAATAGATTTAATAAAATGAATAATTATTTTATTAAGAAAAATTGACTGTTATTAATTGGGCATATTAAAGAAACTATTAAAGAAATTTATCGAATTTGTTTTCAGGTGTATTTCAAGTTAAATGGGTTTTGAAAGCGTATTAATCGATTAAAATATTAATCGAATATTGTTACGTAAATAGATAACGATTGTTACGTGGCTCCATAACTTTGAGATTGAAAAATTCACCTTCGCCTAAGTTACAAATAATGGCAAAAACCTAAGTTCGGATTCCCTCGCATAAGTTAAAATTTTGTCTCTAGAGACGACCGTAGTTGACGGGTTGTGGGTTGGAGGAAACTTCAACTTTACCATTACGTATACATGTGTATAAAAGCATTAACGAAGAGGGGAAGAAGGTAGAAATGAATATACGAGTTCGCACCGTAAAGTCTCCAAGCCTGGAAATAACTTCACTGTCGATGGTACTACTCACGCTTTACGTACACATCCACATACACAGTTACAATTTTAGAGCTTTTTTTCCCTCTTTCCGCATATACATTATTCTACCGCAGCCGTAAAAATTTTTTATCTGGTTAACAAAGATGATATATTTATTCATACATTGGAAATGTAGCAATAAATTTTGCGCTTTGATTATATAAAAGTTATGCGAGCTCGCATTGAGATTCATATCGGCGAGATAAGATAGGCAAGTGTCATTATAACTGTATACTGGAATATTCAGGCTTTGTACAACTTTCTAAAATTTGCTTGGTTATCAGAAGCATCGAATTAAATCGTTGATTGTTTTTAATGTCTAATTTATCAAAGCCTTCTTTCACATACTTATGAATTTATTGACATTCTTGTTAAAATTCGTGCTATGCGATTGTTATATAGATTTTTATGTACGTGTCGGTAAATTTATTTATCTTGAGTTTTGATTTATAGGCTGATAAAAATAAGAGAATGTAAATTAAAGAAAATAATGATACAGAATTGTATTTATCTATCGTAAACTACATACATGAAAGATTAAAAGGAAATATATATATATATATATATATATATATATATACTCTAAAATAGCATTTTATTATTATTCGTGTATTATTGTGCTATTAATTGTTAGCATAATAATTATAATAATATCGCTATTAACAAGAATTTGAATGTTAAAAATTTAATTCGAACCAGAGCCGGTTAAATCTTCTTTTATTAGCTAGATGTTTTTAATTCAAGTGTAAATTACAAATCTTAATCGTCATTCAATTTTCAAAGACATCGAATATTTACAAATGTAGATGACGTCATTAGAACTAATACTACATGCAGGAAGAGTATTTGCGTGCATTGGCATACTCGTTACAATCGCATGGATAAGTAACGATAATATACTGAGCATTCATGGTAAAAATAAAACAATGTACAACATCGATTTAAAAACGAGCGTGCATCTTAAATATGATGCTCGGTATATTATTGTAAAAAAAAAAAATAATAAAAAAAAATAGGCGTTTATATATCGGTTGGGATATATTATATGAACATAGTGAGCGATTCATCACATTATTCACATACGAGAGTATAGACGACTCTCTCGTTCGATTATCACACACAAGCCAAGGTATTTAAAAATAACACTTAGGTCTCCTTTGACACGCACAGCATCGTTTGAGAAAGCACTACTCGCACGCGGTTTGCGCTCGGGAGGCCGTTTCATTCCACGAAAAATTTCACAGCTTCGTCTGTGGCTCTTCGTCCGCTTTTTTTTCAGATGTTTGCTCTCGGATACCTCTTGTCCCGCTCGTTGATGTTATCGGCAAGAATTCCCCTCGAGGGCGCCTCCGTTCAGCGTAAGCAAGCAACCGTGTGCGTGCGTGCGTGCGTGCGCGCGTGTTTATGCCTATGTGAGAGCGTACGAGCGCGTAGCGGTGGGGATGGCGCGAGAGTTAGAGAGAAAAGTGAGGGAGGGAGAGTAGAGAGTAGAAAAAGAGCCGAGTCGTAAAATGTACGCGACCGCCGACGCCACCCCTTCCCCCATCGTGTTCGAGAATTCGCAGAAAAATTTGCGCGATAGCCGTAGGACCTGGATATCGTAAATCGTATTCAATTTCACCAGCGCAGGCCTCTTTCCTATACCCGGAATACGGGTTGCGGGCGTGGCAGAGTCCGCTAATACGGTCGCGCAAATATCAAAACACGGCGCATTATTTAAAACGAATGTAAGTGGATATTAGAATGTAGAGAATGTACGCACGTTGCGCCAACAACGGATTTTATTGTTCCAACGGTTTTAAGATAGACGTGATTGGATGTTTGACCAACGAGATTCCAAAAAGACCGCGCGGGCTACATTATATGGCCTATATATTGCAAATTTGATTTCGCTAATGTATCACACGTAGATTGTCATAGCAATTTTTTTCGCAACAATCGCGATTTTTAATTATTTCGCGATTTTTACGCAACAATTATGCCCGCAATTAAGGGAATAGCAATTATTTATTAATCATCTTAATTTATGGACTCTTTCTAATTTAATGCTTGTCATCCTATTAAGTATTAGATTAAGATTTTAATGCAGATTCATGTAATTTATTATTTGAATGCAACTGCAAGATTATAATGCAACTCTTACTTAATTCATATAATCGTAAGTGATATACCGAAGTGTATTGCACTACTATGTGCAGATTTTTATTCAACTCTTTTATTCAATTTACTCACATTCTATATACTATTACCTGTTTTACTTTTTTATTATAAAAATTTTATTATTTTCATTTTTTTTCCATTATTATTATTGTTCATTCAGATTATAGATAAATGATGATAAATGCTTTTAATTCATACGTAACAACAGATCTCATTTGAAAAATAATAAATTATGAAACGTTATAGGTGGCATATTTTGATATCCTTATAATATAAACGACTTGCAAGCAAGTTGATTTTATTTATGAGAATATTGAATTGTGTTTTAAAATACACTTTGAGTCACTAAAAGTATAAAATATGTAGGAGACAATGTAATTTCTTGCTCGAAGAATGTTTATTCTTCCAACAAATTAATTGGAAATTTAAAATCTGTTATTTGTAACTTAACGGTTGAGTCATATTTTGTATGTACAATTGAATTACAAGTAAATAATATCATTGAAACTATTTTATGAAAATGTAGACCTTCGTATCTTTAATTAAAAATAAAAATATATACATAGCGTTGTGATTTAATGGGTTATTCAGTTCGAAATGAATTGGTCATTGTTAATAACGCAACATTTATTAGGAAAAATTTCGCTTTTTATTAAAATTTTGAAGTATTGAAAATGGAGTATTTCATGGGAAATTAAATCACAGAGAAAAGGAAAAAGCAATGCAACGGTTTCATTGGTTATATTTTTGACTTATCGATAATGTTCGTTCCGAGTTCGATTACAATCTTTGAAAGTTTCATTTCCCCATATCCCTTGTTTTACATTGAAACGAAGACAAAAATCCTACTGCCATATGCGCAGACTGCAGTCATAATTATTAAGAGTGTTATTTAATTCTCTTACTCGCATATTGTTCTTTCCTAATGCACTCGTTTATTTTAATATTTTTTCTCTTTTTCGTGTTGCAGGTGAACTCAAAGAATGAGTGGGCGTGGCTCTGCGAGGAGTTCCATCTGCCCAGCGGCTGCGTCAATAGCGGCGTTGGCCTCAAACAAATTTATCTTCGGTGAGTAGTAGATTATAACGACTATATATTTTGCATTGGAAGCGTCATACGTATACTTAAACGCGTCTGAAAATGATTGCAAAAAAACTAGACGGATTTTTGCTCCTCAGTTTTTACATACGAGTTTTGTCTTTTTGAGTATATAAACCGAGAGGGTTGTTGTGTTAAATGTAAAAACTTAATTTTAAGAAATTGAACAGATCATTGGTTGGTCATGCAGACTGATATTAGCATTAAATGTTAAATAGCCCAGAAGAAGATGTTTAAATTACGTTATTATTAAATTAATATTTTACATACAAATCCAACTTATTTTGGCAACGCTCAGAATGGCGTTAAAATAAAATTACATTGTCGTATTATAACATATATCTTGTATTTAAATTTATTACAAGTTTCAACATACTTTTACAGGTATATAAATAAAAATTTGGTAAATAGAAATGTTTTATCTATTTTATGTTATTATTCTTTTTTTTTTATTATTTATTTTATTTTTTTTTTTATTTTATTGTTTATTACATAAATAACGTTACAATCTGTTTTTATTATGCATTTAAATTGAAGTTATAAATAATGTCCTTTAACTCCATTTTTGTTTATAATGTTTATAAATAAAATAATAAAATAATAAATAACAATGCTCAGTTTAATTAACTTTATTGTACAAAGAGAAATATAAATAAAATTGTTTGTATAACAAAAATTTCAAATTTTATTCGATTCTATTTTCGACTTCTCTCAAATATTCTAAAATTCTTTATTGTTTACAAGTGTTATAGCATATTTTGAAAAATTACAACTTTATTTAAATCTAGTTTTACAAATCCATTAATCTGTTTGCATGCACTTGTGAATTACTCACATAGGAAGTTAGAAATAATGTCAAGGAAATTCGTTAATTGAATCCGACGATTATAACTCATCAGTATGATCGTTATATTTTATTTTTCTTCTAAACAAAAAAAAAAAAAAAAAAAACATAAGTTTATTATTTAACGGTAAAATATTTTGTTGCTGCTTATTTATACTTTAACATAGGTCGATTATATTTTTATACCAATAATTGATTTATAAATATTATAATATTATTATTGTATTTACAAAATATTTTATTAACTCTAAAGAATGAAATATAAAAAATAATGTTTAAAATAATAAAAACATTACGTTATAATTGTATCATAAACATGTAAAATTCAATTAGAGATGTAGCAGAAATGGATTCCATTCCACCAATCTGCTTGTTTTATTTATATAACTTCCTTGTACTTACATAATTAATGCTTGTAAATCGCTGCACTTGGAGAATTCTCTCAGATGCAATTTTACTCACAATTATTATATTATTAATAAATATCGTAATGAAAAAATGTTATTCACGTGACCATTTGGAAATTGCACATACACAATTTTAAGCATCTTAAATATTATTACACGTAAATTGTAAATAAAAACACACGTGTAAAACGAAGTGTAAACAGCAATATTTATCAATATTATACAATACAAATTAGTTCTCTTTCCTAAACAATCGTCGCTTTCGTTCCAATTGCACTTGATTAAAGCTAATTTCAACGGAGCTTGTGTATACTGAAACAACATTTCATATCAATAATGCCCAAGGATAAAGTTCTAATAACAATGATGTTAGCAATAAACTACAGCTCCCCGATAGCCTCGAATGAACAGTTTAACGATAGAGCTAAAAACATTGGGACCGAGAGGATTTCTCACGCATTCGCCTTTAATGAGTCGCGAAGCCCACGGCCCCAATCACCCACGCACTTTCTCTCCCATTCACTCTCGCTCCCTCTAATTTCTGATGCCCTTGATATTCTTTCGCCTATTCGTCCCCACTTCCGCGGTCGATTATCTTGCACCTCGTCTACCGTCGCTGCCCTTGATCCTAGGGGCCGCATCATGTCCCACCTCGCCCTGTCCCCACCTCGCTGCTACGGTGGCGACTCCTCGTCTCCGTTGTGCGCGGCCGGCGATGCCGCCACGTGCTGCAGGACCAATCGCTTCCTCTTCGGCCCCTCGCTAGTGGCGATTGCGCTACGAGAGTAGCCGATTGTCATGGCTTGTTGGAGCTGGGAATGATCGAGAGAGTCGGTTATTTTTGTTAATAAATTCGAATAGGCTCGAGCTGATTTCATTAAGCAGAACGTCTATGTCGAATTTTTAATGAGATTTACCATTACGGGCAATGGAATATTTGAATTTTAGTCGAAATCAATTTATCGGTAGGTCAAGCTTACAATCGACCCATATTGTATTTATGATTATAACTATGCGACGTCATTGCCTATTACAAAAGTCAATAGGATACGGTTCTTAATTTATTGTAAGCGGTTGTTGTTTAGACACATATTAATTCATCGGTTGATAAGGTTGTAATTTGTCATCAGATAATTTATAATCGTTTTACTTAATTTACTGATATTTATGCTCAAACAATTAATTGATAAAGCACGAATTTCTCCACTACTAACTGCACGAATATATGTAATTTTATTAGTAAAATGCTGTTTTGAATGCGGTTTTGAAAATGAGTCGTCTATCATCAGTTGAGGTCGAGTGTACTAATATTAAACCACTTTTCGAGATATCCTATTATTTGATCGTTCGATCAATAATTATCATAATGAAGGTCTAACCATTTAATGATTATTCAACAAACTAATTACCACTTGGAGTAAATTAATATTTGTAATTAATTACAAATGCCTAATGAACTTGTAATGCTCGCAACGTGTTTCATCGTCGCTTTAACAGTGCTTAAAACATGCATTTGGAGCAAAATTGAGTTTCAGTTAGCTCTCAACGTAATTATTGGGAGCATTTTTATTAATTTTTGTCGCGCGCGCTGTTACCGTTTATACATATTAATTTTATAATGATTTCTAAACGACTCATACGTACATCATACGACAATCGACAATCGACAATTTCTATTCCATTTTCGTTTGCGTAAACGCATTGTAAGATTTGACCATAATATTACGAAGAATTTGCATAAGTACGGCTTACCATCTACAACGCATTCCTCTTATCTTTGTATTACTTACCGCGATGCTAGCCGTGTTATTTAACAAAATACGGCTTTGCTTCTCGGACATCTAAATGCTCTTCCTTTTACAAATCGTAAATCTTTGACCGGCCCTCGGAGTTTTTATAGGTTTTATGCAGGTATGTGGCTCTCGAGACGTAATTGCAGTTCGGGGCACCGATATTTCGTTGGGACTTTTCTTGTGGTGGAAAGGGCTGATTGTGCGAAGGCCATCGAGTTCTAACTACACATGCTTGTCGCATGCCTCGAACGATCTTCGGTTTCTTCTGCGAAACCATAAGGGCCGACTTAATATCGATTAGAGATACGTAAAACTTCTAATTTATCTATTGGCACGAACGAAGGGAGTTTTTTCTTCTTCCTTTTTTTTTTTTTTTTTCTTTTTAACTTGGTAAATAATAAAATTCTCCATCGAGAATTCGCTAATAATAATAGACAAGGAGTGTTGATTAACGCATTCGTACGCTTCAATATGTTCATTTACTTTAACGGATGATTTTTCATCCATTTTATAATAATTATTATTGATCGCAATAATCGTAGGGATAAATAATAAGCGCTTGAATGTAGAAAATATTTTTATCGCACTAGGATGCTGAATTCCTTTGTTCTTTCATTCGTGTTTCATTCAATTGTAATAGCTGAGGAATAAGATGACTTTTCAATACCTAAGCATAGTATCCCATTATCTGTCTATTGTCTTTTGCTTTTTATTTTCTACAATTAATTAATCAAGGCTTCAAAAGCGAGAAATTTTCCGCACAAGCGCAAGATAAAATAAAGTCACAGAAACTTATCACGAAACGATTCACAAGGTAGTTAGTGGTCAATTTTTGCAAAATATTTTCATTCAACTACCTTCCTAATATTGATCGAAGATTATTTTATTATTATTTATGTTATCAGCGAAATTAATCTATATTTATTTATCTTGCTGCAGGTATTTAGATAGATACGAAAAGGTACACTTTCTGGGTGAGGATGGTCATCAAGGGGACGACGATGATGAAGACTCGAGGCATCGAAAATGGAACGCCAGGTCTCTTCATTCCGTACCATTGACCTACAATCATCATCAACACAACATTGCCGGTTAGTTTAAAATCATTAAAAGCATAAAGAAGATATTAATTACATTATTGTTTTTGTTTTTGTTTTTGTTTGAAAACTGAATATCTATTGTATCTATCAATGTAATTTGTAAGTTAGTTCAACTATCAATGCAAACGACTGATTTTTTTTTCATTAAAAAAAAAAAAAAAAAAAATCATTTATCACATAAAATAAATTTTTAATTGAAATTTCAGATAATATTTTTAAGAATATTAAAACAGTTATGTTATGTAGCGTCTAATTCGTGCTTCTACTTAAACATTGACAAATAAAATATTACTTAAAAATACTTAAAAAAATTAATATATTTACAACAATAACTCATATTGCTTTGTGTTAAACAGGTGGTGTCAGTTTCTTGCATAAAATTCTTTAATAACAAACAGATTCGCTTTAAAATATCATAATGATAAATGTATAGTATAATTATTTGTACTAAAGTGCAATTACAATGAAGTCAATTTTCTAGTTTGCATTTACAGTTGGAACTGCTAAATATAAAAAGTTGAACGAGATATAAACAGAATATTATTAAAATTTTTAAAGCCGATATTAAACTTATTGGCTTTCCTTAAAAAAAAAAAACAAAAAAAAAAAATAGTGTATAAAGTATGGGTAAATATTTGTTCTTTTTTCTTTTTCAATAACATTAACGAGTATAATATTTGCTGCTATTAACTATTTTTAAACGACTGCGAAAGCAAATTGCCTGATGATTTAAAAGTGTTAAATGACAGGGTGAAGTATAAAAAAATCTCTACATTAGCAACGAAGATTACATAACTGTATAAAATACTTGTATCATAACTTTTTATTTTCATCTCTCAATCATTTAGTTTTTACAATTTAAATTATAATTCTTATCAGCTCGCGAAAAGTAATTATAAAAAATGAAAATTGAAATGTGTAAAATATAAAATATAAATATAATATATAATATCAAATATAAATAATATAAATAATATAAAAATGTAGAATGTTTCAATGTTCATCACACACGGTTGTCAGTGTGTCATTGGAATTCAATAGTCCTTAATATTTGTATAATGTATAACAGCGGGCGCTCTTCAATTTTTCCTTTACTTTGCATACGGAATGCACAAAGTAATTGGAGGCTCACGATCCGATGCTTGACAGGATTTGAAAAGGAAAAAAAAAAAAGAAGAAAAAAGTTGCATGCAATGATATGTAAGCCGATCGCCCATGGCGAGGCACACACGATCAATACGGAAATTCTCTTGGCGACATAAAAACAACGCTTAGGAGAACGAACCCGAAAATCCGGCATGTAATCGTCCGACGACTGGAATATCCAGTCGGCGAATCAGCAACACTCGTTGTAGATGTATCTCCGGACGTCGAAAAATGGCGTAACGCCATTGAGGATGATCGAGCGTACCCCCCGAAGACGAAAAGTGGGAGCAAATGCATAATGTAGGAGGAGATAACGCGCGATATATATGTTTGCAGTGGTGGTGGAACGAGGATGAGGAGGGAGGAGCGTTATAGACAGAAGCTGCCGCGCACGGCAGATATGTGATGTACGTTGATGTGCCGATATGTATGTATGATATTATGGCTGCGATAGGGCGTACACGAGTATATGCATGTCGACATGGACGATTCCAGGTCAAGCGCTCGGGACGTACAATCCACAATCATTTTCATAATTCTAGTTGTTATATTAATAGCGTCATGGCTGTTTGAATAATTTCGATTACTTATTGCCTGTTGTCACATCTTAATGCATCCGATTCTTATCCGAGCGTTTGTAATTTATAATTTTTACATAAATTCATTTGACGTTGGCCCTAATTTTACGTATCGTGCCCTTTCATTCTAATAATGAATGATTTAATTCTAATAATTGAATCTAATAATGGTTAAATTTAATATTCAAAATTCAAAATTCAAAATTATTTCAACAGCTTCCCGTTAAATTCCGTGCACCATTTGGCTCACGCATAAACTGTACAGCGGAGATAATTTTTGCGAAAAAAAAAATCTGAAATTTATCATTCCAGTTTGTTTTGGATATAAGTAAAAGACACGGATCCTTATAAACATCTAGCAATGATTTATTTGACCTGGAATCATCCACATACGTAAACCACGCACGCATATATAGCTGTTAGAGCACGGGTCTATATTCGCGGCGCATGCGTCTCGCGGATCAATCTTCCTCGCTGCTCTTTCTCGTTCTTTGTCTGTTTCTCACTCTCTCTCTCTCTCTCTCTCTCTCTCTCTCTCTCTCTCTCTCTTTGTGTCTCTGTCTCTTTCATTTTCACCCAGCGCCATTCGGGAAGATCCGTCTACGACGTCGACGCGTCGGAGTCGACGTCTATACGGATTCAATGCGACGCGTGCGTAAGCGCGCCTACATGTGTGCGCGGCGTCAAACGCAGGCGCCAAGATTCGACCCCTTCCAATCGTCAAAATCCAAGCGAAAAAAAAGAAAGAAGAATAAAAGGAGAGAGAGACAGAGAGAGAGAGAGAGAGAGAGAGAGCAGTGTGGAACTCACGGACGGATAAAGTTCTGTAACTAGGCTTTCCCGGGATCCTCGAAACGGTTTCCCGTGCGCATGCAATGTTCTTTCGTCTCCCCTTAATTCTATTCCGCCGACCGGATAAACTATTGCTCTCTGTCTCCCTTCCTTTCCATCCGTTTGCCTAGATTCGCCTCTCTTTCACGTTCTCATTATCTCGTAAGAAAGGTATACCAATATTTCTGATCCCTACGTCTCTGCCGAGTTTCATTTTTTTATTTAATGCAATGAATACGTCGACTTATTGAAAGTCATAAAATTTTAATTATTATAAACTCCAGTGTTTGAAGTTCAATATACTTGTTAATAACAATTACATATTTTTTTTATCGTATTTTTTTATTTGATGACAATTTAATGGTTGGTATAGAACTAACCGACTCGACGATTAATAAACATTTAACGCGATATAAATAATAATTTTGAAACGCTCTAAAATTAAACAATTCGTACAAAAATAAAAATTATAAAATTTTGGTAATAAAAATGTTTCAAGCCTCTGTCCAAACCGATATTCAAGTAAATGTTATTTTTCGTTCGCACAATGTTCTCTTGAGATCTTATAATTTTTATTTGGAACATTTGTTTAAACTTTTGACATACGAATATGTTGATTAAAAAAGTGGTATTATTAAATGGCAAGTCTTTGTAATGTCAGTCTTTAGTAAAAACTATTTGTTCCGGAATACTTTTCAGAATCCTAACGCTTATCTCTCTCTCTCTCTCTCTCTCTCTCTCTCTCTCTCTCTCTCCCCACATAATAGATTGTCTAGATTTAATAATCATAGCGATAAATTTGTTTTGCTCAAGTTTTAAATAAATATAAGCTTTTTATAATTTAAGCGTGACTTTATTAAAGATCACGGCTAATAGAGATTGTAGGGCGTAAATCGTTCTGGCCATTATTTTAAAATTCAGGCAAATCGTTGAATTCGATCCACCATTAATGTCAATGTCGTATGTGACAATTACTATTGAAACATCAGCGAAGTGCATTAATTTCACTCTAAATTATTAATATTAATATTTGATATTTCGATGGAGCATTGAACGAAGATGGGTAGAAGTTTGTGCGATCATGAACGTTTACATAAAAATCACGAGACAGTTAATATCATGTTTAAAATGGTCGAGCCTCCGCTTGGAATAAGTACAGCTATCCTTGAAAATACAGACACTCGATTTGAAATTTCGAAATCAAGCCAACTAATCAACGTTCCAATTTCGTTTCACCTAACGGAAACAATGATATTCTGACTCATTGTATTTTCTCTGCCCCCGTGCACTTTCTTATACCTTATCGGCATTAGATTTGACTAAAAGTAGGATAATACGCCCGCTCGAGTATGCGCGACGGCAACGCAGCTCGAGCACGAAAAACATATCAAAGATAAAGAAAGCAAGGTTCAACGCTCACATGCTGCCTTCCTTCCATGGGAGAGCGAGACGGAGCTGGGGAACTGCAGGTAGGCAATGAAAGAAAGGCAACCTCGGGACTGGAGAGATCGATGTAGCGAAGGAGGAAGTCACGGGTTGAAGAAAGACCGCGAGCCACCGCCACCACCACCGTCACCGCCGCCGTCACCGCTGCCGTTGCCGCTGCTATTGCTGCCGCCGCAGGAGAGCGGAACGTCAACAAGTGCGAAAAGAGTTGAAACGAGAAAAAGAGACGGAACTACAGCGAGAAAGCCACAATCAATAAGCGTTTGCGGGGGATTCGCTGTTGCCCGGCTTTCATCTCTTTCACTCCTTTCCCCTCTCCTTTTTCGCCCCCTTTTCCTCTCTCTCTCTCACTCTCTCTCTCTCTCTCTCTCTCTCTCTTTTCTCTCTCGACAACACTGGTTTGCTTACAAGCGCTTAAACACTTTTATCCTTTTTGTTTTCTCTCATTGTCTTTGTTCCTTTTCTTTTTCCATCCTTTAGACATACATTCTTCTATATCCTCTGTCTTTCTTTGCCTCTTACATTTACTTGCTTATTCTCTTTTCATTTTTTTCTTTCATCCATTAAAAGTTTTTACTTATACTCTCCTTCCCTATCCTCCGATTTCTCATAATTCCCTCCTTTTTCTTTCCATGACCTTTTGTCGTCTATACACCAATATTTCTGTGGTTTATCGTGTTTTTCTGCTCCCTCTCTCACTGTCTCTCTCTCTCTCTCTCTCTCTCTCTTCCCCTTCCCCCTCTCAATCTCTCTCAAACTCTCTCGAACTCTCTGCCTTTTCCTCTTTTACATTTCCATTCTGCTTTGACGAAAGTCTTTGTCTTATTTTCATTTTCATTTTTATTCCCTTCTGATGTTCTTTCTCCTATTTTCTCTAAAAGAAATTTTTTATGATAGCATATTATTTCCCTCTATATTTTCTCGTTAATTTTCTTTAGGCCTTATTCGCATCTTGTGTTGTGTTGCTTAATGACGTCACTGTCCGTCGCTATTTAAAAATTTTTTTCATTATTTTACAAGTTTTATTCATTTTTAAACTTCCACTGAGACATTTTATTAAAGTTACGAATTCTCATGTTGCGATGAAAATCAAAATCCCTGATTACGAAATTTATCTGTCATAGTTTCTGAGATATGCCGTATAATAATAGCAAGTGTGAAAATTTTAATAGATGTAAATTATTTTTACAAAAAGATGAGAAATGTTGAATTAGCTACATTCAATTAGCTATTGAAAACGCATACTCTTGCATAAAACAAATCTTTATTAAAGAATAAAATTCTCAGTAAATTTTTATTCAAGTGTTCGAAATATAAAAAGAAAGAAATATTGCGTTTGTCATGAAAGCACCTCTCGTCGTATTTTGCGAAAGTATTTTTAAGATAATTTTATGACTCATAAGAATAATTAAAAAACAAAGTATAATAAAAATAATGATAATAATATAACAAGTTCCATCATACGGGATAAATTTCTGACTGAAAAGTCGTGGTTGAAAAATTAGTCTGTCGAACGCGATAACTAATCAAGACGCAAGCCTAAATCTTGGAAGCAGTTACTCTTGTAATTAGAGTATTTCCGCAATGCAAAGAAAGATGTCCGTCTGGTAATTAGCACCTAAAGAGAAATCTCGCTCGCGAGATAGATATCCTGACCTGACTTAGATCAATGCGCATAATCTCGTTCTCTCTTTCGGAAATGGGAAAGCCATTTCTCTCTTCTTCAATTCACGAACATATAATCGACAACTGATCAATCGGATTCGACGGGGCCGTTCCTTTGATTGCGAATTCCCGCGTCAAATCGCCGGAACGAGATTGAGATCCATAGTATCTCGCCTGGGTCGCGACTTCCCCATCGTTTCACTCACTCCCTGTACTTCCAGTATCCTCTCGAGCTCATCGTGTTTCATTTTTTTTTTTCTCGTTGGTACTTCTTATGCCGACACGCATCGTTGCCACTCGCACACACGCACATGAATAGTATCACGCGCCTGCGCACACTACCACGCCCGCGACTATGCCAGATTTTTTATTAACCCTTACACTGCTAACTTGATCAAATTTCCTTACCTTACAATTATTAATTGTCTCTAAATATCTCGTGATAATATTAATTATGTGCTTATTTATCAACGTTCTTTTACCCCATATCAATATTGTGAAGTAATCGTGATTTTTAATAAAGATTTGTGCGAGACACTTATAAGCGTCATTTTACATCTTCAAATTGAAAAATCGAACGATAATTGATTTGAATGGTATTTTCATTGTTTCTAATTAACAGTTGAGTACTATTAAAAAAAAAATAATGCAAATTTTTAGATACCTTGTGATGTGACTACATAAGTCTACAAAATCCGTAATTACTTATAAATTGCTTGATTTTATATATGGACACTTACGTACTTTAATAGATAGAATTTAAGATTTTCGGCAACATTTGAGCAAGGAGTTAATTTATTTTACTGTCTAATACTTTCTTATACATCGTGTCTTGAAGTAGTTCTAAGTTTTTCATTTTTCATATGCGTGATAATATTATCGATAAAAGTCAACTACAACTATTCGACCTATGGCACGCTGTTCAAAATTTAACTGAAACGCAATGAAAAATATTTCAGCTTAGACAAAATATTGAAATGGAAATGGTCAGTTGCCGCTCCGGTGTTTATCGTATACTTAAAAAATAAAATTTTAAAAATTCGTTGTGACTCTTGAAGCGAATTAGCTCCCTTTTAATTTACGAATGGCATAAAGAATGAAATGGCGCTAAATTTACACCAATTTATATTTTCCTCCTTTTTAAGTTTAAAATTACGTCCCTCTTTTACTTGGCTTGCCATCTCTCAGCAGCCAGCGTCAGTTATGCGAAATCGACTCATCCATCCACCCCATGAATAGCAAATCTATTCGCAAGGGAAATCCACTCGGCTTGTAGAGTGGAAGCTTCGAACTTGGCAAAACATCGATCGCCCTTTAACCTCGCGAACGGTGGCCAGAGAAGTTTTATGTAGCTCGTTGTTTTCTTATTTATTATCAGCTCCCATTCGCAGGATCCCTTGCGAACGCAGCCAATCCAGGGCCGAAGATATCGAAGGGCAGGTATTGGAATAATACGTCTTTATACGAATAACGCGTAGTGTGACGCGTCAATTTGATATTATGCGAAGAGAGAGAGAGAGAGAGAGAGAGAGAGAGAGAGTGAGTGAGTGAAGGAGAAAACGGAAGGGAAAGATGGTGGACGGAAGAGAAGGATAGTGGATGAGTGCGTGAATGTATGAGGACGAGAAAAAAGGAGAAAAGGAGAGAGAGAGAGAGAGAGAGAGAGAGAGAGACGATAGTGCTCGAGTTCGTCTGCATTATCGCATTACAAAATCGATATAGCTGCGGGGTTGAGCGGCTCGCACCATTGAGAGGAGTCATTGCTTATACGCGCGTATGTAGCATTATATGCGTGGCCATAAAAGGCACGCGCGCGCGCGCGCGTATTGTCGCACCGCACGACTGATAAGCGATTAACGGCCCGTACTACGTCAATAACCCTTATTTATACTTGGATACGTGTATGCCTTGCCTTCTATACACTTCTTTTGCTGCTTTTTTTCATATCGTACGATCGTATGGCTTTTCGTTTTAACCGCAGCTGCTTAGCGCATGCTTGTGTTGGGTTATGAATTGGGCGGAGAGGAGTAGAAACGGGTGGTGGCACAATCGACGAGTCTCGTGCGAACTAGGAATTTTCTTATTAAAATTTCTCTGCTAATAATCGGCGGCTAGCTTTATGGCGTTACGACATTTACTGCTGGTAATTGAGCGATTTTTATTTATGCCTCGCCCAAGATAAAATGTAAAATAAGTCATGAGCCGCTGATAAAAATGATGTTTTAGTATAAAGGCGGATGTATTATGCCGCTATCGCTTTGCATTTTTATCAAACAATTAATGTGTAATTGCACCCCAATGAAAACAAAAATACTTTAATTTATATGAAACATGAAGAATATGACATTAATATTCGTAATTGGTTGAGCAATCGCTTCACTATCAGCATTAAATAATTATGTTGAAGCGAAGGGAATATCCAAATGTTAGTTTAATATTTGAAGAAAAGGAGGGAATGTCGTTCTCTATTTATTCACTCTCACATAATTTTAATGCGTATTGTTCTAACGCGTTTTAATAATCAATCTATCCTTAAACAATTTGTAATTTTTCGCTCTTTAATGTATATATATATATATATATATATATTATGCTTGGAGTGAATAATATATGGAAAAAAAATCTTTATTCAATTCAATAATTTAATAAGCTTTCAAATCAATTGCGCGAAGCATCGAGTTTATCATTGTTGCACTATATAATGGTGATGTTGTTATAAGCTTAATACAAACAAAGACTAAATTAATTGATTTTTTTATTAAAGAAGGCTCTAATATAATGTATTTTCAAAGTTTTTTTGTAAATTTTTTCAAATAATATATGAAAGCTTAAGAAGCTTAAATGGTTTAATAAGAAAATAAATGAATGCCTTATAATTGCTAGATAAATTTCATTTGATTCGATTTATGGCGGACCGTCAACGTTTTTAGTTCTAACAAAAATTAGTTATGTATAATAAAAGTAACATTTTTACAATATAAATCTTATAATTCTTATTGTTGTCGTTGACAATAATTCTTATGTTACAAATACAAGGCGTTAAGAATTCAAATAAGTAGAAAGTTGAAATTAAGTGATATATACTTATCAGAATTGCCCGTACTTTTTCAAACTCTAAGATAACGTAAAGACTATGTGCCCTTTTATCTAAGCGGCGCAATTATGTCGAACGGGAAAAGGCCAAATCGATCAATTGTCGTTAACAAAGAGCCACTGCCTCATTTTGCCGACAAATACCAAGACCAATAATTTTATAACCAATTGACCCTTCGCTCGATAGTCGATCGCAAATCCAATTTCTCACGATTGTCGTTTGCTTTCAGAGTCGCTGCGCGAGTACAATGGCCTGTCGGCGGACCTCTACAAGCCCTCGAACTACGACAAGCTCGCGCTCTCGCTGCTCTCGCCCCTGCCGAACGAGCAGGACTTCGCCATAAACGTCTGCACCTTCCTCTCGAACGAGGGCAAGCACACGCTGAGGCTAGACAAGTATCCCCGGCTGGTGAATCACCTGCTCGCTCACGCGGGCGTCTTCGACTCGACCGGCACGCGGCAACTCTTCATCGAGGTGTACTCGCGCGTGCGCAACTACTCCATTAATTCCTTCTGGCAGGACGTGCTCGACGCCCAGGACGTCCTCGACCTCACCGACGAGCGGATTTTCATCAAGAAGCCCGTCGTCGCTGGCAACAAACGCATCATCAGGCGCCGCCAAGAGAAGGAGAGACAACGGAGTCAGCAGTTGATGCCAGCCGACGACAATCCCTCCCCCATAGCGCTCGACAGCGTGAGTACCATCGCTAACGCCCCCACCCGCATGCCGGCTACCCACTTCTTCTTTCTTATCTGTCCTCCCCACTCGACTACCTTACGTTGAACATAATTTTTGCCGCGGATCGATAAACTCTGCGTTTTTTTACTTCCCTCGTGGGTGTTATGAAGCGCGTGTCGAAGTTTCCTTTAGCTCCTCTTCTCCGCAAACCTTATTGGTAATGTAACTTAATACACGCGTTCGCTTGCTCCACCTAAGCTCCCATCCACAAGCACTTGGGGAAGAGAACGCTAGACCCAGCTTTTTATTTAAAC